CTAACACAACATCCATTCTGCAGCCATGGATCAAGGAGTCATTTTGACTCCTTATTTTTTTATTATTTAAGAAATACATTTCATAAGGCTACAAGGTGCCACAGACAGTGATTCCTCTGATAGATCTGGGCAAAGTAAATTGAAAACCTGGAAAGGATTCACCACTCTGGATGCCATTAAGAACATTCGTAATTTATGGGAGGAGAACAAAATATCAACATTAACGTGAGTTTGGAAGAAGTTGATTCCATCCCTCCTGGATGACTTTGAGGGGTTCAAGACTTCAGTGGAGGAAGTGTCTACAGGGATGGTGGAAAGAGCAAGAGAACTAGCATTAGAAGTGGAGCCTGAAGACGTGACTGAATTGCTGCCATCTCATGATGAAACTTTAACACATACAGTGTTGCTTCTCATGGATGAGCAAGGAAAGTGGTTTCTTGAGATGGAATCTACTCCTGGTGAAGATCCATTGTTGAAACGACAACAAAGGATTTAGAATCTTACATAAACTTAGTTGATAAAGTAGTGGCAGGGATTGAGAGGGCTGACTCCAATTTTGAAAGAAGTTCTACTACGGGTAAAACACTATCAAACAGCATCTCATGCTACAGGAAATCTTTCATGAAGGGAAGAGTCAGTGGATGCAGCAAACTTCATTGTTGTCTTATTTCAAGAAATTGCCACAGTCACCCCAGCCTTCAGTGACGACCATCCTGAACAGTCAGCAGCCATCAACACTGAGGCAAGACCCTCCACCAGCAAAGAAACCATGACTCCCTGAAGACTCAGATGACTGCCAGCATTTTTTAGCAATAGGGTATTTTTTAATTAAGGTATATATGTTGTTTTTTCAGACATAATGCTATTGCACATTTAACAGACTATAGTATAGTATAAACATAACTTTATATGCACTGGGAAACCAAAAAATTCATGTGACTCGCTTTATTGTGGTATCTGCTTTATTGTGGTGGTCTGGAACCAAACCCACAATATCACCAAGGTATGCCTGTACATGAAAAAAAATTTAATTCCTAAATTTTAACTGTGATCTTCATTGGACACTTTAAACTATGTTCATTCAAGAACATAAACTGGAAACTTTATTTCTTATGTGGAGATATTCTCGTATAGACTTTTATTTTAATTCCAACAGGTAATTAAAGGAAAACCCTTTAAATGCAAACTGAGTATTCCTAATCCAAAAATTCAAAATGCAAAATGTTCCCAAATCTGAAACTTTTTAAGTGCCAATGTGACACTCAAAGAAAATTTTCGTTGAAGCATTTCCAATTTCAGATTCTTGGGTTTGGGATGCTCAACTGGTAAGTATAACGTAAATATTCCTAATCCAAAAAATCTGAAATTTGAAGGACTTTTGGTCCCAAGCATTTGGATATACTCAACCTGTACTGA